GCACCTCAAAGTACGAGTAGCATGTATAAAAATATATCATCTTGCATATATTAAGGTGCAAGTTTTACATATTTAATTCTGGATGCACATCTGTTTGATATAATCTTTTGTTTTTAATATTCACCAACGTATTTCACATGTTAACAAACTAAAGCAAACAAGCATTCACAGTCAAAGAAAATGAATATGCAACAGTAACAAATAATTAAGAGATTAACACTCATTTTTTATTTTTAGTTGTTTTTGTTTTTTTGTTTTCCAACTTCGGGACAGTTTTGTTCTGACCTCAGTGCTGAGGGTCAGTGATGTGAGATCAGTGTTTTGTTAAAGGACTGTCGGCTTGTTTTCTGAAGGTGAACCACGCTAATGATGTCTGGGTCTTGGGGAAAGCTGAGCCCGAGAGTTACGATGCAATGGTGACCAATCAGACTGGGCTCGTCTTAGCAGCTCCAGGGGCCGACTGCATGCCGCTCCTCTTTGCTGATCCCGTCGCAAAAGTTATCGGAGTCGCACATGCAGGTCAGCCCTCACTGCTTCTCAAAGTTTTGACCACTGTCTGCTAATTTAGGGAACCATCATCTCATTCCGGGCCAATCAAGAAAAAAAATGCACATCAGAACTATTAGTTAGTGTTTTTAATATGTCTATGTGTGTGAAAGAGAAACTTGAGTAGAGGAACTTAAGAAGACTTTGCAGAAAGCACACACTTCAACATTCTTTGGAATCAAAGTAAATTCTTTCAGTGTTAATTATTCTATAGACTCTTTATATAATTTGTTTTAGCCTTTGGTGCCTCCTAGAGGATTTATTTATTCAAGCTAAAACCAAACAGTTGAAGAGAGCGTGCAAAAGAGGCTGCAGTGGTACAACTTTACAATATGAACTCTGACGATGAAATGGCTACATTTACAGGTTGGAGAGGAACCATAATGGGGGTTGCCATGGCCACTGTGAATGCCATGGTGACAGAATTTGCTTGCCAAGTTAGCAACATTGTGGTGGCTGTGGGACCATCAGTGGGACCCTGCTGCTATACCATGGAAAGAGACCAGGCGTTGGACTTCATGAGCATCCATCCAGACTGTGTTCCTGATCCAGAATCAGCCAGACCACACGTCGACATCCGTCTCGCCAACAGGTACGGCTCACGAAACGAGAACACTCGCACAATAGATTAAATAGAGCTGACAAAAGTACAGAATGTCTGTGAACAAGGAAAAGAAAATAGCTCTATATTCTGTTGCCTACATTGTAGAGGGAGTCTTAGTCTGCAATAAGAGAATGAATAGGGAAGAGGTTAAAGTGGGATTCAGCAGGTGGGGATCCCTAAAACCAATTGCAAGGTCGTAGTGTGGAGAAATGAATCACAACTCAAAATAATTTCTCTTAAGAGCTTCAGTAGATTTTCTTAAATTTCCAGTTTATCACCACTGAGCAATCCTTACCTTTAAATCTAAGCTCTCTCCTTCCTCTCCTGTCCTGTATTTCTTATCTTTCTCCATCTGTGAGTGAAGTTAGCCCTCTTTCTTTTCACTCTCTGTAAAATACAGCAGCCGGACCTTTAACACACACTGTGTGACAAACTGCACACAAACACATTGTGTGTGTTTCGCTGATAGAAACGCTGCATTTGAAATTACCTGCCACTTTTTAAAAAAATTACTCGAGTAAAGAACAGATAACTGGAAATTCTACTTAAGTACAGTAATGAAGTATTTCTACTTTATTACTTCCCACCTCTAAGATTAACCAATGAGGGAAAACTGATTGTTGCAGAGCAAGAAACAAATTTAGGATTTATTGTGGATGTTGATCGGCATTCACATAAAATTTATATTTTCTTACTAAGGTCATAAAAGCATTCTGAAGATGCCCTTTTCATTTGAGTCTGGCTCAAATTTAACCTGAATTTCAGAAAATGTTCACGATGTTTTATATACAAATTCAAAGTGTATTTAAACAGACTAAACAGACTAGTGGATGCACTGACTACCCAGATTCTATTTTTAAGAGATGTTCCAAGATGTACTAGTCTCGTTCTTTGAAGATGTAAAAGGTAACTGTGGCAGCCACTCAATGATGACTCAGACTTGAACTTAAATACATCTCAGAGGAAATCATAGCTGAGTGAATTCTCCAAGTTCACTTTCATTCTGTCACTAGTGTTAGAGTGTGTTATATTTATTATGGAGTTAATCAATAAGATCAAGTAAGAGCTTCAGTTTAAGATTAAGGGTCTTCTTGCATTTACCCATTCTGGGTTGTCTGGAGAGGAGGTAAGAGGAGAGAAAGAAGGTCCTTGTTTAAATTTTCAGCCATTACTATTTGAGTATGTGTTGGAAATAGTACACTGAAGCTTTAAGGTCTTTAATATTGAATTCATATATGGGATTTGTTTTTCGCTTAGCTGTGAACCAAACAATATGTCTAATTTCCCATCCCAGAGTTCTCCTCCAGAAAGGTGGCGTCCTGCCCGAGCACATCCATGACAACAAGATGACGCACTGGTCCTGCGTGACGCCCTGCACCTCATGTCACCCTGAAAACTACTTCTCCCATGTCAGAGATGGGCTTAACTTTGGCACACAGGTGGGCTTCCTGTGGATCAAACAAACGAATGAATTAATGAGTGTTTAGCACACTTACCTCATATTGTTGTCAGCTAAAGCTCCACAAAGTCAATGTGCTCTTTTGGTAAAATTACATGGTATAAAAAATGTTAAAAGCAGCAGACAGAAAATAGCTAAAAACCAATTGTTTGCTAATTTACTGTTTGATATTTACAGCTTTAAGGATAATTTTGCATGTCCCACAGATTCTAATCTTCAAATAAACTAGAGGATTAAAGTTACAATGTGCAAAATCTCAATACTAGATGTCAGTACATAGCAGACTGCATTCAACTGAGTTCGGTTTTCGTACCCCTCCCAATTCAAATGCACAATCCTAGCTAAGGTGGCTTCCATTCATCTGTAGTGAGTGCAGGCTGTCAGTCCACTGTTCACCTCAGCAGTAGCAATATGTATTGACATCTATGGACTCTAGAGGGAAACTGCAAAACTTTGTGGCTGAGTCCAATATGAGTCAGTGAAGCTCATTTCTGTCTGACAACGATACTGCAGTGTTGTTGAGGATATCGAACTTTTTGTCATTAAACACTGCCCTTTAGTAACACTTTCTTTGAAGTGGAGCTAACTTTGTTGGATTCAGAGTCTTAGCGATTAAACTCTCATACGATGTGAGAATGTAATCAAATTGTTTATCGGAGGGAAAATGTGATTTTTAGGACACTTGAGTCTAACATTAGCTAATATAGCATTAGCTTATTGCTGTTGTGTTTTAGCCAGCTCATTGTTAGCTGGAGGCCGTAGAGTCGCATGTCTAATCTGCCATCAATAAGTAATTATAATGATATCAGGAAGAAATGAACATGTTTATGCACATTTTCGTGTGTTAGAGCTCTGACTTCAGCTCAGTAGGTTCAGCTGAGGAGAAAGAGGATGACACTTTATCCAGGTATCACCTTCCCTCGCATTTTCGCTTCTTTAATGAAAACAACCACTTCTCAGATGATAAAACATGGGTATGATCATATCTTGAGTCTGTAGGTGCAGACACAAATTAATATTTTACTAAGCTAAATTATTACTATTTTATTTTTTAGAATTTCACTAACTTTCAGGGATTTCTCATTTGAACAAACATGTTTTATAGCTCGTAAGATTTTTGGGGGTGAATCTAACTCTGCAGGGAATTATTTCTATGTTGTTGGAAACAGCATAGAAATACTGGACTGATACAGTTTGTCCAAACATGTATATTTGGATAGTTTACCTGTATTGTGGGTCCAATGTACCAAGCAAACTACCCACTAGCCAGTAAGCATTCACCTAGCGGCTCTAATCTGTCTCTCTTAATTCCAACCTGAGCCAACAGAATTATTTAGAGAATGAATTGGTGGGTTTAAATACTTGATTAACACATGGACCAAATAGACCTTTTTCTTTTTATTCTTGTACTGAAAATCTTGAGAGATGGTTTTTAATGGCATTTAACTTTAGTCAGAGACGTACAGCATAATATTACTCAGTGATATAAGATTTAAGACAGAACACACATACCTTAAAGGAGTGAGGCTCTGAGCGGTGAGGCCATTCAATTTCTCTTGGTGAATGACTGTAAAAATCTGTACAGCACATTTTACGTTGATATTTCTCTTTCTGCATTGTAAAGCATGGTAATTTTAGTGTTCAATAAACTTTCAGTCCAATGACCGGCTACGTGGGTTTTATTAATAAACTGACTGACAGATAGCAGTTGGGTTCATCAGAGTTCAAATCTGTCACATTTTACAGTAGAATATCCAGGCGATAGATGGGTCATTCCATGAAAACCAACCAACTGCACCAGTTTAATGTTTCTGATGGAGAGGAACAGAAACAACCATTAGTTTGATCTGTTCTCTGATTATTCTGTGGGGAAAAAACAACTTTTGAGTCCAACTTTTAAAGGATTTCATCACCATGTGAGATAAGCCAGAACAAGTTATACCAAATAGGAAATTTGTTTGTTTGTTTTTTAAACCTAGTGTTTGATATTCCCACTATAGCCTTAATTCCTTCTCTGTCAAAAATAATTTTCCAGTAATCTACAATCCTGTTTAATTCTGTGGCTGTTAGGTGGAGACACTAGTTGGTTTTACATATCAGTTTCAGTTCCAAACTTTTAGGAGCATTAAACTTTCTGTTGTTTGATTTAATATAATGAATAAATGTAATTTTATTAAGCATGACAGACACCGACGTCTTCAGGGATACAGACAATTTTTATTCTGAGACAAAAGTCTTGATTTGTCTTACAAAGCAGCCCTTTTCCTAAAAAATAAAATAAATATAACAAAGATCATTTTAGTAACACAAAGTGTCTCACTGAAAAGATCGGCTGTTTTCTCAACAGCCTCATCACTGCATAAAATTAACTGGAAACAGAAGCATCACATTTTTGCGTGTTTCACCAACACTGACGTGGGATCTGATTTTTTTTCTTCCCCCTCAACTTAGTGCAAGTTCAGTCATCACATTGAACAGTAATTTCAAACAAGTAAAAGCAAATCACAAACTCTTACAGTTCAGTCAGTTTTAGCTGAAATTCACTTTTAACATGATCAAAGTAAAGTGAGGTCAGGTCTGCACAGGACTAACACCAACGACACAAACTCTACAGCGCATGACTCGAAACACTTGCATCATATAAATCATGTTCCCGGACACATTACTGACAGAGTTATCAATTAAAACATTCTTACACAACACAGACACACATGCATGACCGACCTGGTGGCAAACGTCATTTGTGGGCTTCAGATAATAATAAAACCTCTCCTGGCATCAGCTTTCAAACAGAGACATCCCCGCACATTAAGGCCAGTTCTTTTAGTGCAAACACAGAAATGCAAAGTCAGTCTTAAATGAATGCAATGAGCTCTATTAGCATTAGTCGGGAAATGAGCCAGATTATTAACATCAATCACTAAACCAAGTTGTTTAATGTTAGATTATATTTTCTTTAAGTGGTGAATTATTTTCTTTTCATTACGGTCCGAAAATTATTTTGTACCCACGCTACTAACTTAAATTTATGTGCAAGTCACACAGTTTCTTTGCAATTTTAACTTGCATCTCATTTCAAAACATTTTCAGGGCTTTCATGGTCACGTTTCCACTATTGGAGACATTTAGCATGCTCATGTGCTTATTTTGCATCTCTGTGTGGTGATTTTATAGGTTTTTGTTTTCTATGGAAGGTCATTTTTGTGTCTTTATTGTTCTTCTCTCCTCACTGAACTGGTAGAATTGTGTCTCAATGTACTTTTTAAGGTAATCAAAAATTTGTTAATAATAAGTTTGTTAATAATTTTGTGTCATTTTGAGTTTGTTTTGTGTCTTTGTTTGTTTTTGCATAAATAAGAGCAAAACATTGCAGATTCAATGGAAAAAAGGAGCGAATCATTATTTCAGACATTCATTCTCCACACCACTCCCCACCACAAAAACAAACAAACAGAAATTCACACTTTTATCCTAAAGCATTGCCATTGTGGCTTCAGAGGCTGTTCTCAATTGGCTCATGCAAAAGAGTTTAATGAACCACAAATGTAGGAGCCCTTCTCACTCTGGGCCATAAACTGAAAACAATCGCTAATCCAACAAATGTATGAACTGCTGAGAGAAAGAGTCCCCGTCATTACAGAAACAAAGAGCCAAACATTATAATCTGTATTTAAACAGTAAAAGTGTTTCCATAGCAGGTTTATGATTTTAAGCACCACTGGATTCCTGCCAAATCTTAGTTTAGCTCATTGCATCACCACCTAAGCCGGGAACTGTAAACAGGCCATTTGGTTTGTAATTTTTGGCCAATAATTAACAGAAATAAGCAGTCACGTAATTTTAAGACCAATGGAACGAGGACAAATCCAGTCTTGGTTTTGAACTCAGGAGGAAATTTGAGAGCTTTGTGCTTTTGAAATGTCAGTGGACTCATTTGCGGAAACGTTGCTGGGTTTTGGCCCTGCTGAGGTCACACAATGAAATGAAACCTGTGGGAAACATTTTTTAGATATTACTCCTCAGTAAAGACCTTCCACCATTTAATCTCCAACCTATTAGCCTTTAAGTGGCTGCAGCAGCAGCAGGCTTGGCAATCTGAGGTTAATCGGAGTTGACTGATTATCAAAAAAAAAAAAAAAAAAAAAAAAAAACACAACAACAACAGATAATTAATTTGCTTTTTACAACAAATAAATTCCTATACATTTGTGAGGTTGGAAAATAATTATAGTAAAGTGAATGTACAGCATCGTCATCAGCAAAACTTCTACTTGCAAAAAGCAAAGGCCTTGAATGCAAACGCTTGAGCTCATCATGTAGAGAGAAACGATCATCAACATTATCAATCTGTACTCCAAAGAAGATCCATACCTACATCTGAACAGCTACATATCTTAAATAAGGATAAAATGACTCTTAGAAGAAAATGAGGTAATGAATTTAAGCTCAAGTGACCTGTCAGGAGGTGGCAGGGGAAGTCCTTCCACCATATTCCTGTCCAGTCTCATATTTATATTTACAGAAAGAGTTTTCAGCATAAAAGATCCTGTAAGCTTAAAAAACTTTGAACAGTTACCTTCTGCTGCCACCAGAGGTCAGCAAACTGCACAGAGCCTCGTGTTGTTTCAGTTAAGAGGAAGAAGTTTGCAGGTAGTTTGCACCATTGTGGTATTGTCGATCGACAGTCAGTTTGTCACAATCTTGAAATTAGTTTGAAGAGATCAGCTAAAAAATACAGACGTCCCGCTTCCATCACTACACTGTAAGAAAAAGGAATCTGACGAAGTACGATGATCCCAAAGCTGAAGTAAAGTTGTGAAATTTAGGCAGAAACCAATGTGAATCTATCAGGTTTCCACAGCTCACAGTAAAAAAAAGGAAAAAAAAGAAAAAAAAAAAAGAACAAAAACATTGAAAATAAACAAGTGTCCAGAACTAAAATGTGTTTTTTTAGGGAATAATGATGCTGCAGACACTCTACATGCTGAATTGAATTAACCATTTTCATGCACTTAAGTAACCAAATCACCGCAAGCAACCTGGTTCCAGCAGAAATCAGAAACATATTAAACATATATACAGTAACCTGGTTAAACATTCAATGACGTCCTTAAAAATATCTGTGAATACAATTTCAAGTGTACACAAAACAATATTACACTATTACAACTTTGGATATGTTAGCTGACCATCTGAAAAGCAAGCTGTAGTAACAACTGGTCAATTATTATAAAAGGGCTGACAAATTTCATTTCAAATTACATAAATGATTCATTATAAAATCACTTTAAAATTCTTAATCCTAAAATAACCTTAAATTACTGTTCATTAATCGATTAGTATATGAAACCTACTGATCAATGTCTCGTTTTGCACTAAACCCTGTGTGTGACAACATGAGAAATAAGCAGATCTTTGAATACAAGATGCTAAAATTTGCAAATATTTGGCTTTTTATTCATTATTTTTACATACAAAAACTTATTTCTATCATGCTAGACTTTTGTTTTGAAGAGGTTGTTGTTGTTGATAATAATAATAATAATAATAATAATAATAATAATAATAATAACAATAATAACAATAATAACAATAATAATAATAATAATAACAGCAATATTAACAACAACAACAATAATAGGTGTATTGTAAGTACATATATGTATCATGGTCTTGATAATAAAAAAGTGGTGTTAGTGCATTCTGAGTATATGTAATGTGAGTAATCCCTGCCTCACTGAAAAGGACAAATTACACTGCTTATTTTTCATGTTCCATTGCTCTGCCATAAAAATGGTCCCTGTCGATCCAACTTGCTCTTTTTGCCAATAATTCGCCCACAAATAACAGTATTAGCTGCCATTTAGCTGCTTTCCATGTTGATAACTGACAGAGTTTTGGCTGTGTGTGTCAGTCAGATAAATCCTGTTCAAATGAAAGCTGGCTATAACCTGATTACTTAAGTGCATGTAAATCTGGTGAGGGACAACTGAATGGACCTTCAGCAAAAGGATACCTGACTATGCTGAGAGATGCATGAGGATGCAGTCACAGAACAAAAGGAGAAAACAGGCTGAGAATGGCAAAGAAAGGAACGCAAGTGCGGAAGGGAAGGAAGGAGGAGGTAATGAGTAAAACAAAGAGGAAAAACATCTGCAGTCCAAGTTCTCAAGTGACTATGGTATAGAGGACTGTTCAGCTACCTTGGTGTGTTTGGTGTGTGTGTGTGTTTTATCAGCTGCAGTGGCAGAGCAGCAGTCCAGCCACTAGAGGAAACAGGTTGAGCAGCAGGAGCCACAGAGTGGTGGCCAAACCTGGAGAACTGGAGCATGGATCTAAAAGAAAGACAGAAAATAACATCAAATCATGTTTGTTTTACATAACAGAATTATATTCTACACACATTGAGTATTTAATTATACATACATCTTAAGTTTTATCTTTCCCTTTCAGTGCTTTCCTCACAGATTTCTTTACTTTGTTCTCATTTATATCTTTTCCCATTTCTTCACTCATTAAACAACTTCATTCAACCATCAGTTGAAATCTAAAAGGCAGACAGCTTCACCATGGGACAGGAAGAGAAGCATTTAAATCAGCTGGTCCACTGACTGACCAATTGGGTTGCTCCTGGAGGTGTTGATGGGTGGGAGATGGTAGGGTAGGGGGCAGTCATCACAGAAGTCGGTGCAGGCGGGGCAGATGAGGACACCGTTGTAAACCCACTCGTTAACGCGTACGCTGATGCTCAGCAGCTGACCTTTACGGACACAGAGGAAGGAACGATCCTGAACGAACACCATGAGGCCCTGAGCTGAGCACGACACCTGCAGCACAGAGAGGGTGTGACACAGACCCAAAACACACAGCGACATGCACTTTCCTCTCATTTCTCTAAGCTTATTAGGGATTTTTTTTTCCCTTTGTATAAAAACCTTTTGAGAGCCCACTAAAGCAGTTTGGGACAACAAAAAGGGATTTAATTTATTTAACCTGAACTATTAATCTGTTTGTCATACATAAATAAAATTAAAATCTACAGATGGGGCAGTGCAATATGACAAAAATCTCATATCCCGATATGAGACATTTATCGTCCTGACAAGGATATAAATCACAAAAATGTAATATTTTCTGTAAATTCTGTGAATCTCTGGCAACTCGACTTGCATGAAGTTTTTCCAGCTGGGCGTCATGTAGCTGGATTCGAGTGTTTTAACCGATGCATGACATAAGACATAAGTTGTAACGGCCACCATTTTCTTTCAAAGTTTGAGTCTAAGGTTTATTTTTTAGCACCTGACGGCTTTTTTTTTTTTTCTTCCCCCTTCTCATCCGTAAACTCTCTGCATACTTTTTCCTGTGATTCAGTTTATTTTGAAAAGTCTCAACAGGATCTTGAGCTTTATTGTGAAAGGTGTACGTGGAAAACAAACACGCGGAGCCACGCGATGGTTTTACCGTCGTTGTAAATAACAGCACGTAAAAACAGCCCCTTGTCTGTCTGTAGTGTGGTTATATTAAATATAAGAGAAAGAAATTAAGAAATAATTTAAGAAATTAATATAGCCACTACCGTGACCATCAAAACGATGAAAAAAAAATATTGCTGTAAACTGTTTATTTAAGACACCACGAAACAAACGATAGTGTAAAATGAAACGATAGATGTTTTTATATCATCATCATCCGATATATATCGTTATATTGAACAGCCCTATCTACAGATTTCTAGAAGGTAAAAGTCTCAACCTACAGATGTCACCTTCTCCACTGAGCTGTAAAGGGGATCTTAAAAATTCACAGAAACATAAATAAGTATATGTACATGTCAGCACCTTGTAGCATCCGGAGCCCCAGTCAGGGTACGTCATCTTCCGAGTGCACTGCTCCATCACAAAGGCTGATTTCTGGTACAGACACACAGAGTCTGGTCCATACTGCTCTGCTCCATAATTTCTCCACCAGTCTGAACAAACAGAGAAAACCACAGATAGAAAGCTCACATATTTCATAGAAACAGCATCAACAACAGCAGATCAAAACAGATTTTATACAAGGATTCCTCCAAATGTCTTTACTCAGTGGTCCCCAACCCCCGGGCCGTGGACCGGTACTGGTCTGTAAGTCGTTTGGTACCGGACCACGAGAGTTGAGGCTCGGGTGTGAAATTTATGGTTTTCGGGGTTTTTATCGTTAATTCGGTTTCCCTGGGTCATTTTCCGTATTATAGTTGTGCATCTTATTTTGAAAGAAATATTTACGCATTACCATAGCGACCAGAGAGCATTAAGTGGCAGAGAGGAGGATGTTACTCTCCATGTTGGTGGCACATTTCAGGAAGACGCTGCTAATAAAGTAACACAATTACACAGTGAGTTGGCGTTTATTATTACATTTACAAAATACCACAGTTTTTGTCTTGGTCGTATCATTTTATTTTGTTGTATTTATCCGAGACACCTTAAAGGCTGTCCATGAAAATATTGTCTGACATTAAACCGGTCCATGGAGCAAAAAAGGGTGGGGACCACCGTCTTTACTGATGAGCTCTCAGTCACACCTATGACAGAGTAGGTTTCACGTTCCTGACAGTGAAACTGGGCAGACATGTGTTCTTATGGATTTATGCTAAATGGTGGTGAGCTACTTCTCTGTCAAGCTCTTTTTGATTTTAACAAATTATTTAAAAATTATTGAAAATTATAATAAAAATAAAATTACTTAAAAATGAACACCATGCATCTGTCTGATCTGGCCACTGAAAACAGTGGTCAAAGTTCAAAGTTGAACTTGACTGTGAGTACTCCTTGCTGCACGTGCCGTGTCCTATGTGAAAGGGCCTTAAGGTGTCCAAACCAGGATTAGTTCTAGTCCTAAAGAGCTTTAGGATCATCGTATGCATCTTTATATGAAGTCGCTTTTTGAAATTCAATACTTGAAAGAGTAAAGGTAATCGCTGTAATTAGTCTAGTGAGTGGTTTCTTTGCATTTTTTTTTTTAAATAATCGTGTGTGTGTGTGTGTGACCTGCGTTTAAGGCACAGAAGAATAAGAAATATATTAGGAAACTATTCTAACCTCCCTCCCTGTACTACAGCTGTTCACAGAGTTTGATTTAAAACAGCACTAGACTAAAGGCAGCAGTAGAAACAGCAGTATAAGCAGTACCTGGCTGGTTCTCAGACACTCTGCAGTAGGAGTTTCTCTGGTATTCTCCACTGAGGTGCCAGCTGAACTCCTGACTAAATGGACAGTAGTCCGCGATCTCCACAGCACCCCCAAAGAACGACAGCTGATCAGCAGCCACGTCAGGGATCCGCTCGAAATACTGACACAGCACATATAGTTACCCACAGCACACTCACTGAACACAGCAGAGCTTACTGTAACATGCACATACAGCACTGTGTGGTAGCTATAAATAACCTTGTCAGGCATTTTATATAAGAAAAAAAAAATAACACATCCACTAGTTTCAGCAGAACACTCACAAACATATCAATATTGGTAGTGGTGGGGGGCTTGCATACCTGATACTTAAGTGGCAGTTCTTGTGGGTATTTTTGCAAGTTGCACACAGCCACAGCCAGCTGATCCTGTCTGCAGGTGAGCTGCAGAGGAGAGGCTCGCACTGTGTCACAGTACGGAGTTACAGCGTGTCTTCTGCAACAACAAGTACATGATAAATGCTGCTAGTTAGATATGCCATTACTGTGGGTACCTGGTACAGTACAGAATTTATCTGTAACATATACATATGCCCCTTTTTCAGTGTGTTAAACCCCTTAGCAGTCCAATTAGTCCCCTAAACCATCCAATGTACCGTGGGCGGTACGTCCGACTGCTAACAGGTTAAACTTGGTCATTTTTTCAACCATTGGTGCCAGCTTCAAACTAAAACAATGAGCTTTGTGATCATGAGGGAAAAAAATAGCAAAAAAAAAAAACTTCATCTCTGTTTGACACAGAGTTTGTGTTTCTGTGACCTCTGTCTCTGCTTGTCCATCCAGAATTTGCAGCTCTTCATGACAAAGTCGCAGCCGAGACCACGGCCCCAGTCCAGCCTCTGAGCCAGGCTGTAGTTGGCGCGGTACCATCCGCTGTCCTCCATGATAGCCAGCGTCAGCCGAGAAAATACTCGGTTCTGAGTGTGGGAGCCCGTCATTGCCTCATTCTGGGATGAATGAAAAAAAAATAAAAAATGGATGAACACAACTGAGAAGCCCAAACTAAAAAAGCTACCAAAAAGCGACGAGAAAACATGTGCTGACCTCTAAGAGTCTCTTTTCCCAATGGTTTAGTTCGGTTCCTGTCCCTCCTTGGTTCTCCAGCTCCATCCCCTCCAGGATGGGGCAATTAAAATGTTTCCTCGCCTCCTCCTGGAAACAGAAAGGAAGACACATACTACTTAGTTATTACTTGACATCAACTATAACACCTAAACTGGCCTCCAATAACAATCTCATAGGTTCAAGTTTGTCCACTCTTTCTAATCAGACCTATATATTACATTCCTTCAACAACTCCTGGTGTATATAAATCTTTGTAAAACAATTGTTTTTATAAGCACAGTCAAAACTACAGCTAAGAGGTGCAAAATGACAGTACATGATCTTTTTCTAGACTCACATAAACAGAAGAAGAGTTACCAGTTTTCTTAATATTGAAGCTTCTTACCACAACACGAGGAGTGACAAGGACATGCACTTGGTGTCGGACCATCACGCCTCCTCTGATGTCCCACAGTCTGGTGACTCTTCTGATAACTGCATCGCTCCACTGGTACAGACCCAGACTGATGCACAGGTATAGGATTAGAAGTTAGAGCTTGAACACTGGAAATCATAGATGACCATTACATATAGTGTAATCACCTCTCGTTGAAGGCAGGCAGGCCGCTTGCAAAACGAGGAGTCAGAGGTTTGCCCTCATCATCGTGGTAGAAAGCAAACAGACCGGCTGAAAACCCCTAGAGGACGTAAGGAGAAACTCCAGTCAGTGACAGATTTCACACATGAACAAATTACTCAACAAGAGTCTATTTAGCACCAAATTACAAGAATATTTATAGCAGCACATCTTCTGGGCAAAATCTTGCATTTTTTATTAATATGCTCACGAGGTAAAAATAAACCCACATCAATTATTAGCTTATAAGTTCAGCTTTGGCAAACTGTTGTTGGTCAACAGTAAAGCATCTCCAAATGTATTCAAATGTTAAAAATCTGCCTACGAAAATATGGTTCAAAAATGTCTTTTGAGCAATCTGTGTGAACCTAATTCACCCACGGGAAGCTCAACAGCAGTGACAAGTGGTACTGACCAGAGCGTGGATGATTTCATGTTTGACTGTGGACAGCATCCCTTCAAACTCCTGAGGTTGAGAGGAGATCATAGCAGGGCACAGGTTGGCGTAGCCTGCTATAGGTCTAAAAGGAAAAACACCCTGACAAACATTAGTTTATACTGTGATATTCTGACAGTTTGATTTATTTCTGTAACCAAGATGACAGTTCATTGCTTATTAAGCAAAAAAATGAGACTTTATTTAAAGACTGGATTGTATTTTTAGTTTATTTTTTAAATTAACACTAAGTAAGGTTTTTATCCTCCCACCTATCCAGCTCCGCCTCCAACTGGCAGTAAGCAGCATAGGCCACTATGTTCTCCTGCCCACAGCGTTCTGTGGTGACACCGCTGACGTACAGCACAAAATCGGACCCTTCGACTCCAGGCCCATCTGGGGGCCCTGTAGGGCCACATGACTTCCCAGACTCACTGCACACCTTGCATTGCTAGAAGAGAAACACGACATTGGAGTGAGCAGAGAGCACACTGAACCAGTGAGGACGGACAACAGTGTTCACATCTTAGCATAAAAACACTGTCGGTTAAAAGTTGGTCAGAATTTTTTTTAAATCATGGGGAAAATGGTCAACAGCACTGTCTGGTTATGTGTTATCTGTAGAATTCAACTACAGCAGTAACATTATATACATTTTGGTCAATGCATGCTTGGTCAATATTTTAATGTTAACTAGCAATGAATTAACACTTCATATGTTCCAAATAAAAACAGAAAACAGCTGCTAGCAAGGCTAGAGTCCTTGTCGTGTGTGATCAGTAATCTATCTATGCACGCTCTGACCTGCAGGTGGTGCTGTGGTACAATGACGGGCCCACATCGTGTAAGGTTTGCACAGGCGTCCTGGCAGTAGCGATGAGGGTCATCTCTCTTCCTCATGTACTGGTTGGTTGCACATTGTCTGAGATAACAGAAACAGTTAATTAAATATAACCACAGATGTGGTTCCCAGAAATCCAAGAGAAACAAACATTTCAACAACTTTCTGGCAATTAAATAGTATAACATAAACACACAGCACTTGATTAAATTACTCATCTGGATTTTATTAAGGGGGGGCTTTGATTTATAGGAGTGCTTACACTGAAGCTAATTGACACCTGCTAGGCCTCAGTCAACTGGTCTTGGTGTGTTTGGTGACTCTTCTTCAAATCATCACACAAATAACACGACTTAATCCATGAAACAGCCCAATTAAAGAGGTTTGTGCTACAGTTTTTGGTGAGTGACACTGTAGTATTTATTAATCTGTCACATACCACCAGTTGTCAGCTATCTGTGTTTGCCCATTGCACCCGCACAACTTGTGGATGCAGGTTTCTGACCAAGTGTTTGTTAGCTGACTGCTTAGCACTTTGCACTCTGATCCAAATTTGATCACAGAGCCAAAGAATCTACATGGCAAGCAACAAAATGCTAACGTTGTGTCTTCAAAAGGCAAAACCACTGGGTGATGTCATTGTAGTTTCATTCTTTCTTTAAAAAAAATAAAATAAAATACATATGCACACACTTTGATATTAATGCTTTTACTTAAATAAAATACCTTAAAACTTCTTATGACAGTATGTGGAACATATTTAAAAATCTAAATTACTCTAGACTATTGTTTTATCCTTCTTTTAGATTACTGAACTGAAAATTAGTGCACATGTGTAGCTAAAATAGTGACGGCAGGGACTACATACCTGCTGAGCAGTACAGGCCCCACTCTGCGCCTGACACTGAAAGCCCTCTGCAGGTAAGCGATGGCCTGAGGAAAGAGCTTATCCTAGAGAGGGACACATGGAGTAACACATTTTCAATCTGTTACACCTCTGATCACAGCCAACAATGCTGCAAAGCCCAATCCGACATCACTTCAACTACTGCTAATGTTTTTCACGAGTGCTGCACTTGAACCTCACAGCTGAGAACCAAAACAAACAGCAGAAGGCCCGGCTGAATGTTAAAACCACTGATGATGTCCTCATGTTGCAGTTCTTGTGGATACTGGACTTTGAAAGTAAGATTTAACAGAAAACCCTATTTACTGCTTAAAAATCAAAATCGGGAAAACCACAACAAGTTGACTCTTAATTTCCACTTTTATTTATACCAATTTCTCTGTGGTTGAGATGTGTTATTTTACAAGGTCATAGTTAGACTTTAACTATTACAAAACATTTGTTGTATAAAGTGCTCAGGTGTGTCCTCACCTTCACAAGTCTCCTTTTGTCTGCAGTAAGTCTATGGATGGAGAGCATACTTGTTACACACACAAACCTGGCATATGGATGCTAGAAAAATGGTGACAGTTGTTCTGTTTGGCTTTTTGTTTTGTTTTTTAATCCTTTGAGTTGCTGTAGCACTTACTGGTCAACACTGCTGTCATAGATGATCTTTATTTTCAGCTGAAGGTCTTCTGGAGAGCTTCTCTTAATCAAACGCTCAGGCTTCAAGTAAACATGGTGGACAATCTGAAACAGGATAGCAGAAAATGAGAATTGCAATTTATACAGTGGGGCAAAAAAGTATTTAGTCAGCCACCGATTGTGCAAGTTCCCCCACTTAAAATGATGACAGAGGTCAGTAATTTGCACCAGAGGTACACT